CCTTTGGGGGGGGGTACTGTCACGCCCTGACGTATGGAACTCTTGTATGTTGAGTCAGGGTGTGGAAATCTATGTGATGCATTCTATGTTTGTGATCTAGGTGTTGTGTTTCTATGTTTGGCCGGGTGTGATTCCCAATCAGAGACAGCTGTCGCTCGTTGTCTCTGATTGGGGTTCATAGTTAGGTAGCCCAGTTGCCTACTATGTTGTGGGATCTTGTTCCTGTGTTGGCCTTGTATTGTGTATAGCCTTGGACTTCACGTTACGTTGGATTGTTGTTTTGTTCTTGTGTTTATTTGAGTGTTAATAAACATGTTCACATCGCACGTTGCACCTCGGTCTGACCCGTCTCTCAACGTTCGTGACACAGGCTCCAGTCCCCAAACAAATAACAGATTTATACTATTCTGTCTGTGCTCTGTACCACTGCTGTCCTTTGCCACCGACATTCAAATAACTTTTCTTCTGCTGTGCAATTGAGAATAAAAAAGTGCTTGTTCTGTTAGACTACAACATGACAGCAGTGCCTTGGGAGATGAAAGGAGGAAGGATCTGATTCTAGCTCCTGTTTGGCTGTCTGTCTGACTATCATGGTTTCAATTTAGCATACACTCTATCTTTATCAAACTACAGCTGATCTCCTTTGCCAAAGGGGGAAATTAATCTAGCAGTCAAAATGTGGGGAAACTACGATATAAAAATGTGGCTTACTCTGCACTTGCCAGCTTGTCCACTGACCCGTTGTACCAATGGTATTTTGCCTGTGTAAACTGTATCTAGTTAGAGATTCTACTAACATATTTCTGTATTGTAGCCCAGTGTGGAGTCAAGTGTTATTTTTAAACATTTGCCTAGTTGTTGTTGTGTTGTGAAATGTTTTGCAGAAAATTTGATTAAACTGTTTTGTCCTTGTTTGTTGGATTGGAGAACCATTGCTAATCTGCCCATAATGCTGCCCTGTACATTGGCGCAGCATTGCTGTCCAATCACTTACATAATCTCCAACATGAGCCCACTGGTTTGCATCATTTGGTCACTGACAGCTGTCAACACACAGACAGCAACCCCCCCCCCCCCCCCCCCCCCCCCCCCCTCCCTTACACACACACACAAAGCAGAGTCTCCCTGCTGTCTCTCAGTAAAGGGATGCAGAACCACATCCATATCCTTAAAACATGCCCACCACTACAACTGCAGTCTTACATTTTCTGCCTCTTACCACAAATATACACTTAAAAATAATGATCCATCTAATAATGTTAGAATGCACACCACAGATGTTGTGTCCAATGAAGAGGCAGATAATAATATAATATGCCATTTAGCAGACGCTTTTATCCAAAGCGACTTACAGTCATGCGTGCATAAATTTTTTGTGTATGGGTGGTCCCGGGGATCGAACCCACTACCCTGGCGTTACAAGCGCCATGCTCTACCAGCTGAGCTACAGAGGACCACAGATGAAGACATTACACCTTACTCTATGAGGTCTTCCATCACTCAGAGATATGGTATATATTTTAAAATCTACATGTAACACCCTTGTAGTAGGCGTAGTCGTCCATGAGGAATGATCTAGAAGCTGTGCCACAGCCACAACCCAGTAATGGGTTAAGCTTTCAGCCTCAGTTTGTGTCTGTAATGTAAGGGATCATCCTAATCCTCTAAAGGTTATGTCAGTAGTCCAGTTGTCCAGGAAAATCTGAGTTTGCAGTGGGAATAACTTGGAGAGCCTCTGTAGTGATTTGTTTATGTCAGTATTTGCACTGCCATGCACATATTCCAAAGCTATTTCATTTTTATAGCACAAATTTAAAAAAAAAACCTTGCTTGAGTAAGATCTGGGATCATATGGGTATGAAGAATTCCATTCTGAAAAGGCTTACCATTAGAAAATAAAAAGCTGCTTATGGTTGTTTTTTGCTTCAGATGATGTGGAGCACCTGCGCTACTAAACTGTAGATAACAACCTGTCTCCAATGAGTAGCAGTGTAACATGAAGAATTCACATCAGCTATTCACCATTAAATGATAAACCTTTTTACATAATTGATATACCTTCAATATATTTTGTCAACACCACACTTTTCCTCCCTCCTCAACGATGCTCTCCAGGTACAAATGAAACTATAGCATATTTGAGAGGCTCAGGGGAAAATGCTCACTCTGACAACAACTGTCTTTGTGGTGCTTATGTCAGCGCTAAAGCGCTAGCTACAGAACGCAGTACGCTATGACAGGGTCCCGGTGAGCAGTTAGCATGCGTAAGGCAAAACCTTTGTTTTCATTTTGTAAACGGTTTTCTGTTCATTTCCTGGCATTAATAAGTGCAGTGTTATCTTGGTGTGGGGTTTGATCTCAGGGTGGTTTGGTACACAGTGAAGGACAGAGGGGGACACAGATGGGACTTGGCCTCTTCCATTGTACATGTGCTCTGAGTGACACATCATCCTCAGTCTCCAAAGGGCCTTTACGTGATGTGAATCAGTGTCCTTGAACTGCACAGCGACGGACACAGACAGAGCCTCTCTAACAAGTTGTGCAGTATGACAGACCTAGGCTTCACTACTACATGAGGCTGGTTACTACACAGTCCTCTCACCATGCACTATCCATTGTGAAAGCCGAAAGCCACCCACACCAGAGGATGATCCTCCACAGAGGATCTTAGTCATTACCTTTTCCATTCTTTCTGTAGATGGGTATTTTGTGAATGCTACCGTATGATTCACAGTACATTATCTGTGTGCCTCAGCAGGTCCCCCCTCTCTTTGATGTGGCCTGTGTGTGGAGGCAATCTCACAGCGCTATGCGGAATGGGAGGCTGCTGAGATGGGCTTTAGCATGGCTGCCCGTCTCACTGTGCCTGGCTTTGATGTCCTAAACAGAGCGGGCAGGGCTGCCTGGCAGGCGGGCAGGCAGGCAGGGAGGGAGCACGGCAGGCAGAGAGTCAGGGAGACAGGCAGGCAAGCGCTATGAATGGGATCATCAGCAGTGAGCAGCGCTGGTCAAGCCCAGACACAGAGCCAGCAGCTAGCTGCCTCACAGTGGCAGTTAACACCACGGCTTGTGTCAATAGCTATTGACTTCCAGATCTGAAGTACTTAGGCACAAGGCCTTTCTGTTTGACCATCGCCCCCTGTGTGAATTAATTTTAAACCACTCACACTATCCGAATTTTAGCCTGACTGGGAGCTGCTACAAATACCATTCAAGATGGCAGCTTGCTACAAATATTGACGTGAACTCATGGCTAAGGTGACTTATTGGCTTATTTGATCTCCATGCTGTCATTATTCTGTATTTATTTCTCATGAATCTATACCAGAAAGCAGCTTATTTCACTGTGAAAATTACCATTAGATTGGGTTATTTTTTTACATAGCAAACCACAAAGCCTACCATAGCTAGACTGGAGACAAACCCTTTTTTACTGTTGAGTGCACCGAGCATTCAGAGGCTTGTGTAGTAGTGTTATCTGGTGAGGCTGTGTGCATTCCGGGCTTCGCTGCTGCAGATAGGGCTTTCTGAGCCATCCTCATCAGTGTGTGCCCAGCCCTGCCATTTCCACTCCCTCTGCCTTCACCTGATGTGGCACAGCCTCTGTCAGGCCTGAGCGAGCATCCAGCCAGCCTCTTCAGGGGAGATGAAGGCATCTCGCAGCTACGCTGGGCAGCAATCTAAGCCTGGAGCTCAGAGCCTGGAGCTTGTGGGAAAGAGAGAGGGCTGGAAGTTGGGAGCTGGAAGCTGAGCTCAGAGGAGAGAAGGCAGCTACAGACACAGTCATAGTGACAGCCCTGCACTGCCACCCAGTGGCCAGGGCCCGCCAATACAGCCCTGTTTCTCCACTACAACCCCAGCCAGCCTTAATTACAGCACGCTTCACTTGTTGTGAGTGCATGTCAGAACAAATTATGTTGGTAATGAGGCTGAAAATGTTAAAGGAGTCGCAACACACTGCACCGCTAATGCTCATGCAGGGAGAGCACAAACACAAACAATGGAGTGCACTGCCCATAATGCCAGTGTTCAAACAGAGATAACCAAAACGACAACCGTCTCGACACAATGCAGGAATTCATAATGATTATTTATAAAGTAACCCTCTCAGCGAGCGTGTCAAAACCTGGCTCCTGGTTTGTTTTCCCTGTAGTCTAGGCAGACTAGGGGCATTAGCCCCTATTGTACAGCAGGACACCCAGTCATCTGATAACTGACTGGTGCGTGTGCCAATGCTCTCTTTGTTCATTTGACTGAAATGTAGGCTAATTCTGCATCTAGATGTGAGGTCTTGTTGACTTCTGCAGTGCTAACAGAGCCAGCTAACAGAGATTCATGAATTGAGGGACAGTGTGTGTATAGTTGTAAAGGGTTGGAAAGGGTTGGAGGATCAGCGGCCCTCCCCTGGGCACGCTTCAGGGACACCGACATTATCCACATGACACAACAGACGCTCACAGGCAGCTGATTAAATGGGCTCCGAGTCCTCTGGATGGAAGACGCATTTGATATGATTAAATTAATTTGAAGGGATTGGATGTGAAGGTGTACTAAAGTAATACAGAGCTTCAATCTACTCTGGCCTGGAAGACAGACCCCGCTCTAGAAGAGGACTAGGCCTGGGATATAAAGCTAGGGGAGAGACTGATGTAATACCTTGTCATACTGTAGTGCATGTACTACATGTAGATGGTTTTAGATGGGTCATGTGTAAAATGTATACATTTTCAGCACTAGTAAGAGTAGGCTGTTTGATAGTGCTCTTTGCTCTGATTGGCTATACTAGATGTGCAGTTGGAGGGAGCCACTATAGAGCAGGGAAAGAACCCACTGTAATCTTTCCTCAGTGTAGATCAGATAGTATGGTTTGTCCGGTGCTACGGCGTGCTGTAGCGATGGCAGTCTGAGATGCTGGCAATGTGGAGGAGAGCTGGGTTATAGATAGAGATCTAGTGTAGAGGCAGAGAGAGACATTGTGTCAGAGGCTGCAGTGATAAAGCATGAGAGCTGTAGGACAGGCTGGGGGTTCTGTGTCTGAGATGCCTCTCTGTGTTCCGCTGCCCTGTGGCCTGCTGCTCTGCTCCTGTGCAGGAGGCCGGGATGGATGAGACCTGTCCCCCCATGCCTGTGTTCTCTATGCCCGCTAAATCACACACTGGCCTGTCAGCAGCGGAACACTATCGACCTCACTGAACTCTACTGCACTTTACTACTGTCTCAAGTGACAGCCTTCATCCACTCCCACCTCTCTGGGCCTCATATAGCTACTCACCAGCCCAATAGGAAGGTTATCATTCTTTGTGGCCATACTGGGGTTACTGCTGGGGTATGGAGGGTTTTGAAGTTAAAGATGCAACATTAAGTAATTTTTTCCACTGGGGAATAAGTCCAGTGATGTGGGTAAATTGTAGTCTGTGTCATTCAGTAGGGCTAGGATTACCACTGTGTAGTGGAATGGTGATTGTGGGTAGCTGTGACTTTTCCTTATGTAATTTGTGCCTGCAATGTAAATCAACACTGTGTTTACAGTGGTTGGCTGGTGGCTCAGTGAAGATTCAAAATGGCCTCCTTCATGCACGACTCAGTAAATATTCATTTAATGTTGTGTGGAAGTGAGGATTCAAAGCCACTGGATGAGATGTTTTTGAAACGCAGTGCTCTTTCATGTACCAACATGCTAAACATACTGAGGGTGTTTTACTGTGACAGCAAAATGTTAATTTTTTATTTTCTTCTCTCCAGCTCAAATCGAAATAATTCCCTGCAAGATCTGTGGAGACAAATCATCAGGCATCCATTACGGTGTGATAACATGTGAAGGCTGTAAGGTAAGCACCCAGAGAACTAACATGTGGGTGTTGGGGTGGGATGGGGCGGGGCGGGGTGACAGGAAGCAGAAAAAGTTGAACTTACAAATAGATACCTTTGAACATGTTGTCTAACTTTTGAAATGATCTTTCGAGAGACTATAAAATGTAAACACACAGAGAGCATCATCATTAAAGTGGTCAAGCCACACAGAGGACATCACGGAGCTCCACTTTTAGCAGGACAAAGTGACTCCTCTGCCTTGTACTGCCTCTCCATCCCAGGGACATGTTGCTTCAATGATTCTGCTTCTGCTGCAGCTTGCTTTTTCTTGAAATAAAATCATCAAAAGAAGTGCTTTGAATTTTAGAGGATTGTTGGCTGTTTGCTACAATATGCCGCTTTTATCGAAGCTAGATTTTGTACTGTTTCAAATACACCAGCCATTCACAGTGAAGGGAATTTATTTTGTGCTTCTAGTGTATTCTTGTTCCTGTGCTTGTCACTAGGCGAGTCATTAGTATTCCTCTGACAGGCAGCAGCACCTTTACTGGTTTCCTCCTGTGTTACAGAGAGACAGAGGCTCTTTCAGCTGCTCCTCAGAGTGTCTCTCTCTCCCCCAGACGAGCTAGCTGCCTGGGAGAAACAAAACGCTGAAGAATAAACTGCTGAAATGTATCTTTAATGATTGCTAATTACTCCAGGCAGAGAGGCATTTAATGATATGTGCGAGTACAACAGTTTGGACCATAAATCACAGCATTATTAAAGAGCGCTGCTTGTCACCAGCAGTTCTAGCCCGGCTCATGTAATGGCTGCCATTATGAAGCAACTTGGCAGCTGTCAGCTGTTTTCTTGTAATTAAACAGCCAATGAGCAGATAATTAAGACATATGTGTATGGAGAAGTGGAGTGGGGCATGTTGATGATGTGCTGGAATCAATTCATTAAGTCAAAGGATGAGGAATCCAATCGGTGTGTGTGTGCCATCTTTTAGCACTGTACGTGTTGGAGCCCTGTTTTTAATCAACACTAATAACCCAGACTATAGAAAAATGCTGTCTACAATTACAGTAATACCCAAACACACAACCCCCTGCAGTAAACATTGTTAAAACACACCACCCCTTCAATAAAACAACATACCTCTTTATACAACTGACACTAGAACACAATAGCCTGCAACGCAATGGCAGTTCAGTATTCTACATTATTTCAGCAACAATACCCTCCATAGTGATGAATACTGTAGGCTTCATCACTCTCAATAAGTACCCAGTGAAACACAACGTTTAGAGAAATAAAAGCCTATCAGTCATTGGATACAGCAGGACCACTATGGTTCAAATTGTAAGCATGGTTGTCTCCACTCCCTCTCTCTCTCCTGTCTTAGGGCTTCTTCAGGAGGAGTCAGCAGAGCAATGCGGCCTACTCATGCCCCCGTCAGAAGAACTGCCTGATCGACCGCACCAGCCGCAACCGCTGCCAGCACTGCCGGCTGCAGAAATGTCTGGCAGTGGGCATGTCAAGGGACGGTACGTACCACCGTCAACAAGAGGGGAGGGGACGGACACACTCTCAAGACAGGACAAAACATGAAAGTGAATAGGGCATTATGGGCAGATAGAACAACTGGATTATGATATTTGTTTATGAAAGATAGATGCGACAGATTGTTATATCATAAACGCCAGAGTGGCTAGAGTAGAGAAGTGTGGTCTAGACAGACGTCATTGTCTGAGTAATTTCCACCAGTAACTGGCGTGGCTGTGCGGTAGGTTGGCAGGTGTGACAGAAAGTAGGGTTGATGAACAGAGGGTCGTTAGGAGGTGTCATTAGTGCTGGACTGGTGCAGCTGAGGCGCAGTAATGGAAGCTCACAGGTGAGTGTCTATGGGGGATGAGGGACCTCCTGCAGGGCATGTGGCTGGGCTGGGCTGGGCTGGATTGGGTTGTGCTAGGCTGGAGGGATCAGAGGAGCCTGTAATCAGGCCAGGCCTTTAGAGCCTTTCTGCTGCTCACACACGCAAGCACACACACACCATGCACACACACACCATGCACACACACACTATGCACACACAATCAGGACAGGCCAAGGTGACTCCTGCATTCACTCAGCACACCAGAGTCCATCTGCCCGCGCTCCCCTCTGCTCCGTTTGCTTCCACTCTGTCCACACACACACGGGCCGCCAGACCCCAGAACTCTGAGCTGAGGCGGCTCACTCTCAGGACCAGCTCTGTTTTGTGTGCAGGGCTCCATTAAACACACTGTCTCGTGTCTGAGTGGCCTGTAAGCTGTGAGTCATTCTGGTTTACTGTAGGTTGCTCTCCCGGGGGAGTTCTCATGCAATAAAGATGTTAGTGTTGAAGGTTTCGTAATGCTGACTGCTCCACTAATACTTCCTGAAATCACAAATCTCCTTACCTGTTATAGACAGGCTAAACTGGAGTCACAGGTGAGTGATATGTCAATGTGTCAGTAGTAAAGGAGTGTCTGCTCTCTCCCTCTCTCCCCACAGCGGTGAAGTTTGGGCGCATGTCGAAGAAGCAGCGGGACAGCCTGTATGCGGAGGTGCAGAAACACCGGCTGCAGCAGGCGCAGCGTGACCATCAGCAGCAGCCCGGCGAGGCTGAGCCGCTCACACCCACCTACGGCCTCTCGGCCAATGGCCTCACAGAGCTCCACGACGACCTCAGTGGATACATGGATGGCCACACCCCTGACGGCAGCAAGCCCGACTCAGCAGTCAGCAGCTTCTACCTGGACATCCAGCCCTCCCCTGACCAGTCCGGCCTGGACATCAACGGCATCAAGCCCGAGCCCATCTGCGACTTTGCCCCCGGTTCAGGCTTCTTCCCCTACTGCTCCTTTACCAACGGAGAGACATCCCCCACCGTGTCCATGGCTGAGCTAGGTGAGGAGCAGGGGGGAGATGGGAGAGGAGAGTGGGGAGAAGGAGGGAGAACAACTCAACCGTGGGGCAAATGACACAAAGGTTGCTTAAAATAGCAGGTGGTTGGAGACTCATCTCCAACACTCATTAAAAGAGCCTCTTTTTTGTAATTAGTTTCCATTAATTAGGGCCAATCAGGATCCAGCAGGGCACGCGTCTGGGGAAATCATTTTTTTTGGCTCCCCTGTGCCTTGGAACTCCTTTTAACAGATGTGTTTTCAAAACCATTTAAATTCTTATACTCAATATTTCTCTCTGAGCAAATGTGACCTTTGTTTCAAGTAATATTGTGCGGCCGACCGCCCCTCCTCCCAGTGCATAACTAGATTGGGTTTGGCTGAACCTTCAGCTGGGAGCTTCCTGGAGGCAGTAAAAGGACATGTCAACAAGCCTCTTACCAGTCAAAAAAAGGCCATGTTCTCCACCTCCTCGTTGAAAGCGCAGTAAATAAATCATATTTTCATGTGGCATAGTTTATATGTGAGCTCCTCCCATTCCCCTTGAGCAGCGTTCAGTTCTGACACTGTTCTGATGTGCTGTGCTGTGCTGTGTGGTTGTGTTGCAGAGCACCTGGCCCAGAACATCTCCAAGTCTCACATGGAGACGTGTCAGTACCTGAGAGAGGAGCTGCAGCAGATGACCTGGCAGGCCTTCCTGCAGGAGGAGATGGAGAGCTACCAGACCAAGGTACTGTCCAGTATACTACACTTTCACCACTATCACGACCACAAAGCAGTACTCACACTAGAGCTGCTCTACCTGCCTTACTGTTCTACAGACACAACAGAGCTAATCCCATCCTTTTCTACAGCAGATAACCCTTTTATCTTTCCTTCTCTCTAGCCCCGGGAGGTCATGTGGCAGCTGTGTGCTATCAAAATCACAGAGGCCATCCAGTACGTGGTGGAGTTTGCCAAACGCATCGACGGCTTCATGGAGCTGTGTCAGAACGATCAGATAGTGCTGCTGAAAGCAGGTATGACAGCCCGTCAACACGGCTCACCGCCGTCTCTCCCCCACACACCCCTCAAACTCCCCTCTCCCCCTCAGGCGTTGTCACAAGGGCGTAGCTGACCTGACTACACAAAGCCTCCCTCACAGACTGACTGTGTTTCACAGAACCCTGCCTACCTCCTCCCTCTGTCCCTCTGTTACTGTCCCTCTGCTGTATAACCGTACACAGGCTTACAGTGCCTTGCAAAAGTATTCATCCCCCTTGGCGTTTTTCCTATTTTGTTGCATTACGACCTGTAATTTAAATTGATTTTTATTTGGATTTCATGTAATGGACATATACAAAATAGTCCAAATTGGTGAAGTGAAATGAAAAAAATAACTAGTTTCAAAAAATTCAACAAAAAAAAGTGGTGCGTGCATATGTATTCACCCCCTTTGCTATGAAGCCCCTAAATAAGATCTGGTGCAAACAATTACCTTCAGAAGTCACATAATTAGTTAGATTGCACACAGGTGGACTTTATTTAAGTGTCACATGATCTGTCACATGATCTCAGTATATATACACCTACTCTGAAAGGCCCCAGAGTCTGCAACACCACTAAGCAAGGGGCACCACCAAGCAAGCGGCACCATGAAGACCAAGGAGCTCTCCAAACAGGTCAGGGACAAACTTGTGGAGAAGTACAGATCAGGGTTGGGTTATAAAAAAATATTTGAAACTTTGAACATCCCACGGAGCACCATTAAATCCATTATTAAAAAATTTAACGAATATGGCACAACAACAAACCTGCCAAGAGAGGGCCGCCCACCAAAACTCACGGACCAGGCAAGGAGTGCATTAATCAGAGAGGCAACAAAGAGACCAAAGATAACCCTGAAGGAGCTGCAAAGCTCCACAGCGGAGATTGGAGTATCTGTCCATAGGACCACTTTAAGCCGTACACTCCACAGAGCTGGGCTTTACGGAAGAGTGGTGTTCGCCAAAAGCCATGTGGGAGACTCCCCAAACATATGGAAGAAGGGTGACTCCTGCAAGGGGGGGGGGGAGGGGGGGGGGGTTAGAGCAGGGATAATCAACTAGATTCAGCAAAAATGAAATACTTTTTTTCCCCACTGTACTGTATATCTCTCTATTATACGTGGGAATACTTTGGAACTGATTTCCAGAATTAAAATCACTTGGAGCTGATTTGCTGGTGTTTTACAGTGGGGAAAAAAGTATTTAGTCAGCCACCAATTGTGCAAGTTCTCCCACTTAAAAAGATGAGAGAGGCCTGTAATTTTCATCATAGGTACACGTCAACTATGACAGACAAAATGAGAAAAAAAATCCAGAAAATCACATTGTAGGATTTTTAATGAATTTATTTGCAAATTATGGTGGAAAATAAGGATTTGGTCAATAACAAAAGTTTCTCAATACTTTGTTATATACCCTTTGTTGGCAATGACACAGGTCAAACGTTTTCCGGAAATGGTGACAGAGATCCCTTGTCTACCGTGACATTTTAAACCAGTGCCATATCATAAAGCACAATAACGGCTTCTATTACCGTATTTTCCGCACTAAAAGGTGCACCGGATTATAAGGCACACCTTCAATGAATGACCTATTTTAGAACTGTTTTCATATATAGGGCGCACCGGATTATAAGGCGCATAGAATAGAAGATACTGCAGTCAAACGTTTGACTGGGGTTGCGTTATGCATCCACTAGATGGAGCTGTGCTAAAGGGAATGTCAACAAAACAGTCAGATAAAGTCAAACTTTATTAAGCGTTCTGACAACTCCGTTCACTCCCATGGTAACGTTGTTCAAACGTTAATGTGCATATTAACAATATCTCCCAGCCTTGCTCACTCTTCTCCCAAACGTGGAGGGGAACTTTTCCCTGATTCAGTAAACACGTAGTAAAAGAAACAGTCTGATACCACTAAATCAAACGTTAGTGCATAACTCAACATTATTCAGTTACGTATAACACGTAAAGCTCACTTTTTCAGTTCATTCCCCGTCCACGAATCCCTCGAATTCTTCTTCTTCAGTGTCCGAATTGAACAGTTGGGCGACTACGGCATCCAACCTGCCCGGCTCCCTCTCGTCATTATCCGAGTCAGTGTCGCTGCTGTTGCCTGGCAGTTCAGAGATTATTCCTGCCTTCGTGAAAGCTTTGACCACAGTTGAGACTGATATATCAGCCCAAGCATCCACGATCCATTGGCAGATAGTGGCGTAAGTCGCCCGGCGCTGTCTCCCCGTCTTGGTGAACGTGTGTTCGCCTTCTGTCATCCACTGCTCCCACGCAGCTCGCAGTCTAGCTTTGAACGCCCTGTTGACACCAATATCTAGCGGCTGGAGTTCTTTAGTTAATCCACCCGGAATGACGGAAAGCTCCGAATTAGTTTGCTTCACTTGTTTTTTGACAGCATCGGTGATATGGGCGCGCATTGAGTCATAGATCAATAGGGACGGAGCTGTGTGGAAAAAGCCACCCGGTCTCTTGACGTAAATTTCTCTCAGCCACTCACTCATCTTTTCCTCATCCATCCATCCCTTCGGGCTAGCTTTGATGACGACGCCCGCTTGAAAGTTTTCTTTTGGCAAGGTCTTCCTCTTGAAAATAACCATGGGTGGAAGTTTCTGGCCATTAGCCTGGCAGGCGAGAACTACAGTGAAGGATGACTTCTCATTCCCTGTGGTGCGTACAGACACCGTACTGGTCCCCGTTTTCTCCACAGTGCGGTTCACGGGAATATCAAAGGTGAGTGGAACCTCGTCCATGTTGGTGATGTGCTCTGGCCGGATCTTCTTTTCAGTGATCTTCTTTTTGCAGTATGCACGGAAAGTGACCAGCTTTTCTTGGTAATCTTTTGGCAGTTGCTGCGATACGGTAGTTCGTGTGCGGATGGAGAGATTACGTCTTTTCATAAAACGAAAGCACCAAGAAGGACCGCCTCGAAATTCATCGATGATCATGTCCCGTGCTAGCGCTGTTGCCTTCATTCGAATAGTGACTGTAGAGACGCTTCTACTTGCTGCTCTCTGTTCAACAACCCACTGTTCGAGTTTGTCCTCTAACTGTGGCCATCTCGCTTTGTTCCCTCGGAAACTCTGTTTAGTCTTCTTTACTTGGCGCAGGTCATCTTCTTGCTTCCTCCACTTCCGTACCATTGATTCATTAATGTTGAATTCTCTCGCTGCTGCTCTATTCCCATATTCTACTGCGTGACCGACATCCTTGAGCTTGAACTCTGCGTCATAAGCGTGTCTCTTGAAAGGTGCCATTTTGGGGTCTTTATACACACACAAGTGGTGTGGGACTGTGAGTAAGCACAGTACCGGTGTTTACTGACTACGGTAGCCGTAATGCTGCAAGCGGTGCGGCTTTGTAGTTTACCAGTCGTACTGAAACATTTCATTATTATTAAATTGTTTTTATTGGTTTTTCATACTGAAACATTTTGACAGAGCGCCTTGAGCGCTGTGTACAACCAGTATAGATCAACCAATTAACCAATTGATCCATATATAAGGCGCTCCGGATTATAAGGCGCACTGTCGTTTTTTGAGAAAATTAAAGGCTTTTAAGTGCGCCTTATAGTGCAGAAAATACGGTACATCTCTTTTATCCTCTGATCCAGTCCCACACAGCGCAGCAGTATACAGCATTATGTTTCACCATCCTTTCTTATTAGGGTAAAGAAAAATTTGTATAAATGGAATGCTATTACTTGTTCCATGTGATGGGCTTCTGTTTAAACGGAATAGGAGGTATAACACACAAATGACAGAGGAAAAAACACAAAATAGTGCATATGATGTGTTGGGCCTATAGTGATGCCTGACTGGCGTCTCTAACTGGATCTGTAGAAGAGAAGAACCCAGATTTAGCATGATGTTATTTCTGTCTCTGCAGGCTCTTTGGAGGTTGTGTTTGTGAGAATGTGCCGTGCCTTCGACTCTCAAAACAACACAGTCTATTTCGATGGAAAGTATGCTGGGCCCGATGTGTTTAAGTCATTAGGTAAGTGCTCCAAGTGTTCAATCCTGTGCACGTGTGTGCGGTGAATTTGTGTGCACAAGTGTGTGTGCGCAAGCATGAGCGTGTGTGTGTTTCCGCAAGCTTGCATTGCTATATATAACAGTCAAACCTAGCGTATCTCTTTATGTCCCTCCACAAAGTGCTGAGGTCCAGGAAGCTAACACTGAGAACTCATCCTTGCTTCACCTGGATCTCTCCTCTCCCCATTGGATACATATGGAAGAATATAGTTGTTACTGAGTCACTGCTGCTCCATATGGCTCCTGCTAAAATGGAATAAATCAAGCCAGATTGAGTGCCTTTTGGGAGAGTTATATCAAAACCATCATTAAAAGCGCCATAGAATATGTCAGGTGTAAGCAAATAGAATTTGCTTTTGAATGCCATTACATTACTAAGACACTCCACAGTGTATTCTCCTGTGCATCCAAATGCCTTTGGAGGATATTAATGTGTCCTTGTGGCAGTGTGAAAGTGTAGTATGAAAGCCTAACAGGTGTGTGTGTGTGTGCGCGCGCACAATCGTGCGTGTGTGCAAGATTGAAGAGTAACAATGCTGTGCTATTCAGTGTCATGAGTGTGGCCTCCCTATCAAGCCTCTCAGTGTCCTCAGCCAGCCAGTCAGTCAGACAGTGCTCCAGAGAGAGAAGAGCCTCGGGGCCCCGAGCAGGGGACGGGGGAGGCAGAGTGATGGGGCTCCAGAGCTGCGCTGGCATCAGCCTGTCTCCCACAATCCTCAATAATTGATCTAACTAAAAGACTCATTAGTGACCTCATTCTGGGTTGCGTAATGCTACCCAACTGCCAGAATGTGGCTAGTCTGCGAGGGAAAAGTCAGTAAAAGCATCGCCTGTTCCGCCTCAGACGCTCCCCTGTGCTGTCAGTGCACTGCACCTCTCTGCCTGTGTGCCTCTCTCCCAATACAGATGAAGAGTGTGACTTGCTCTTTGGTCTGCCTCATCCTCATCCCCAAGCCTCTCTCTGTGTCTGTGTCCTTTGCTCTGGCAGGCTGTGACGACTTGATCAGCTCCGTCTTCGAGTTTGGGAAGAACCTGTGTTCTATGCACCTGTCTGAGGATGAGATTGCCCTGTTCTCCGCATTCGTGTTGATGTCTGCAGGTAGGTGTCACTGGCAGTACAAGCGGTGGGGGGGGGACGACATGCATATACACACTGCAGGGTCTCTTATGTACCTCATGCCCTGAAACGACTCTAAAAATACTTCCATTGAAAACCATCCATTCAGCATGTTCCTCAATTAGACACAGAGATCAGTCATCAGTATTACTGTGTTACTGAGTATTACACCTTTCTCCACAGTAGATTCAGAAAACCTTGCAGTGATGATAATGGTTGTGTTTCTTCTCTGTGTAGACCGGTCCTGGCTCCAGGAGAAGGTGAAGGTGGAGAAACTCCAGCAGAAGATCCAGCTGGCGCTGCAGCATGTCCTGCAGAAGAACCACAGAGAGGACGGCATACTTACCAAGGTACACCTCATACCTACTGTCTGTCTACACACCCACTCTCATCCACTGCATCTTTCTGTAATCTCATGGAGGGACAGTATATAGACCGGAACTCAACTGGAGCATCCAAACCTCTCCTGAACTCTGAAAAGGATTGTGTACAGTAATGCAGTTATCCACTATTGAACAAACATTATATTAGATCAAGTAGTAGATTTCAGAGTTGGCATCATACACAAGCTAAACTAAGTGAATATTTTGGAGCAGAGATACAGTGAGGGAAAAAAAGTATTTGATCCCCTGCTGATTTTGTACGTTTGCCCACTGACAAAGACATGATCAGTCTATAATTTTAATGGTAGGTTTATTTGAACAGTGAGACAGAATAACAACAAAAAAATCCAGAAAAACACATGTCAAAAATTTTATAAATTGATTTGCATTTTAATGAGGGAAATAAGTATTTGACCCCTCTGCAAAACATGACTTAGTACTTGGTGGCAAAACCCTTGTTGGCAATCACAGAGGTCAGACATTTCTTGTAGTTGGCCACCAGGTTTGCACACATCTCAGGAGGGATTTTGTCCCACTCCTCTTTGCAGATCTTCTCCAAGTCATTAAGGTTTTGAGGCTGACGTTTGGCAACTCGAACCTTCAGCTCCCTCCACAGATTTTCTATGGGATTAAGGTCTGGAGACTGGCTAGGCCACTCCAGGACCTTAATGTGCTTCTTCTTGAGCCACTCCTTTGTTGCCTTGGCTGTGTGTTTTGGGTCATTGTCATGCTGGAATACCCATCCACGACCCATTTTCAATGCCCTGGCTGAGGGAAGGAGGTTCTCACCCAAGATTTGACGGTACATGGCCCCGTCCATCGTCCCTTTGATGCTGTGAAGTGGTCCTGTCCCCTTAGCAGAAAAACACCCCCAAAGCATAATGTTTCCACCTCCATGTTTGACGGTGGGGATGGTGTTCTTGGGGTCATAGGCAGCATTCCTCCTCCTCCAAACACGGCGAGTTGAGTTGATGCCAAAGAGCTCGATTTTGGTCTCATCTGACCACAACACTTTCACCCAGTTGTCCTCTGAATCATTCAGATGTTCAATGGCAAACTTCAGACAGGCCTGTATATGTGCTTTCTTGAGCAGGGGGACCTTGCGGGCACTGCAGGATTTCAGTCCTTCACGGCGTAGTGTGTTACCAATTGTTTTCTTGGTGACTATAGTCCCAGCTGCCTTGAGATCATTGACAAGATCCTCCCATGTAGTTATGGGCTGATTCCTCACCGTTCTCATGATCATTGCAACTCCACGAGGTGAGATCTTGCATGGAGCCCCAGGCCGAGGGAGATTGACAGGTCTTTTGTGTTTCTTCCATTTGCGAATAATCGCACCAACTGTTGTCACCTTCTCACCAAGCTGCTTGGTGCCCATTCCAGCCTTGTGTAGGTCTACAATCTTGTCCCTGACATCCTTGGAGAGCTCTTTGGTCTTGGCCATGGTGGAGAGTTTGGAATCTGATTGATTGATTGCTTCTGTGGACAGGTGTATTTTATACAGGTAACAAGCTGAGATTAGGAGCACTCCCTTTAAGAGTGTGCTCCTAATCTCAGCTCGTTACCTGTATAAAAGACACCTGGGAGCCAGAAATCTTTCTGATTGAGAGGGGGTCAAATACTTATTTCCCTCATAAAAATGCAAATCAATGTATAACATTTTTGACATGCGTTTTTCTGGATATTTTTGTTGTTATTCTGTCTCTCACTGTTCAAATAAACCTACCATTAAAATTATAGACTGATCATGTCTTTGTCAGTGGGCAAACGTACAAATTCAGCAGGGGATCAAATACTTTTTTCCCTCACTGTACGCAGAAACTGTATGTAAGAAAGGTGTACAAGCGCCATAAGCTGAGGCGTCAAGATTTCCCCTGGTGTGTGCCTGTATCAATATTTACCGGTCAGTTTGTGAGAGATGTTTTTTTAGCGTATCTCCATGTCCTTGCCTTACTGTGAATCTAAATAACAGCATGTCTCTTTTCTTTTCTCCCCACAGTTGATATGCAAGGTGTCAACACTGCGAGCGCTGTGCAGCAGGCATACAGAGAAGCTGACAGCTTTCAAAGCAATATACCCAGACATTGTGCGTGCCCACTTCCCCCCCTTATATAAGGAGCTCTTCGGATCGGACTTTGAGCAGTCCATGCCCGTTGACGGGTAGCCAGCAGCCTTGCCAGGTGCCAGTGTGGCCACCGTGGGGAATGTCATGGGGAGCATGAATCTAAGACACTTTAACGGTGCCCTGCACAAACCAGGACGGCCGGCACGCTGCACACCTTTCTTTATTTTTTTTCTTGAGGGGAGGGTTGGGGGTGTTTGATTCTGTTCGTTTATTTCATTGGGATTAGTTGTCTCTGTTTGGAACCCAGGTGGGACTCTAAGCCCAAGGGACATGAAGAGAAGTTGGAGACTGCTTTCTCTCTGGATGAACTTGACCCTCTCATGCACATCATTCCAGCATGGTCCCATGATGTCTCACACTGATTAGCACTCATTGTTTTGACTTGTTTCTACAAAACAGAATTTACTGTATTGAGAAAATTATATTGAATTTGGTTGTGCACATGCCTAATTTAAAAATCTCCTCAGCAACCAACAATCTGTCTCTCTACCTGTCCTCTGGAGCTCCAATGTCCCATGTCTTATTGCATTGGAAAACAGATCCATGTCAATATTTATTTGTTATTAAATCTATACTGTATCATATACCCTAACGAAGATAGCTGTCTGGGCATGTGTATCATCCATTAATCCTTAGTAAAGATTATGTTAGAATCTCCAAATGGAAATTAATTGCTGCTAATGTTCATGTCCTGGTCAAGTTCAGCCCCTGTTCTCCTGTGTTCAGTTGTATGTTTGGAATGCAGTGCTTAGAATGAAAACTCGCAGTGACTTTGAGAGAGGCTCCTTCTGCGTGGCAATGTAAACGGCACCTCTCTATGGACAATCGTCTAAAAAGAAAAGTAGAATTCTGGTAATTCTAGTCAAAATGCAATGATTTTAGCTGTCAAAGACTCCATCCATCATGGTTGCTTAGTGAAATCATGGAAGGCCATCTGCTATTAAACCTTGTGTGGACAGGTGCCCTGGAGAAACATAGGGCACTGCTACACCGATAAGAGTCCATCCCACCTGTTTTATTATATACTACAGGGTATACGGTCAGAAGTACCTACTATACAAAAAAAAAGTAATGTTTATAGATTCTATTTTAAATAACATTAGTATTCAGACTATTCTTAATTGTTGAATTGATAAGGCACTTTTATTTGCACCTTTCTTTAATTTAAGACTTGTATATTACCTAGTGATGTGTTGCATGTGCACAAGAAAAACAAGTTGAACCATGGTCACAGAGGCTAGTCCTTAGAGCTGCAGACACTGCTGGTCTGGGTGGGGGTTGGTTTGTTTGGGTTGGGTTAGTTTCGTTGGGTTAGTTTCGTTAGGTTGGGTTTGCCTGTGAGATGGCTAGCATGGTATGGTCTGGAGAGGCAGGCAGGTCACATTCACTTCATCACCTATTAGCGTAACACCTCTGGCACACATGCATACACTCTCAAACAAAAGCACACATGCACAATGAACCTGGAACTCAAGATGTTTGCGTGTTTGTGCTCAGTCCAATGTCTCCTTCTAGTGGAGAGTAGCGACACAGCAGGCCAGGTGATGGAGGTCTTCAGAAATAGAATGCCTATTAGAGAGCGGTCCACACACAGCCCTCTCTGACCAGCTGTTGATCCATCTTGTTAGCCTCACACGTAAGCATGTTTGTGTTATCAGGGTGTAGGAGTGATTGTGACTGTCTCTTCCCAAAGGCCTCAGCCCAGCTATGCCATTTGTCATGGGACAGAAAAGGAAAGGGGAAGAAGGAAGTGTAATATTCAAAGCCTTGTCTGGTAGTAAAGCTTCTATTTTTGTAACATGTATAGTGAATGAAACTCATGAAAGAGAGGGGGAGAGAAAGAGAAGTCAGGTAGCACTTACTATATTCCCGCAATAATTAGAGAAGCTGTTGTTTGTCATGTTTCTCTCCTAGTCATAGGCTACAATGGTAGAACAAGTGCTATTGTCAGAATGCTTCGTTGTTGTGGTTCTGTTTTTTTTCTAGTGTGTCTTTCTTGTCAGTGTGATAGAGAAGTGGTAGAAAACCCCCTGGATGTGCCATACAGTAGTTTTTGCTCCTGCTTTGCCGTCTACCTGTCCATAATATAGAATGGATTGTTCTGACATTCCAAACAACTCATTGGTGGCTTGTATAGAATTCCCATTATAATCCTGATATCCCTTTAGATTACCCAACACAGCATGGTTACAGTTTAGACACAACCCTTACCATAGTGGTTTGGTTTGTTTTTCTGTTTGCACACGATGATTCCTCTGCCGTGCAATTTGTACAAGACAAAAAGGATTGTGCTGTCACCCCTCAGGGAAGAGTTATTTTACGCTTTCTGTTTGAAATTGTTTCTGTTGTGTTGTTGGTCCTCATTAGGTATAGTTAATGTGTTGTTCAGGGATGTTCGATAATAAGTGGTTAAGAAGAACGTGAAATTCATTGCTGAGTAGTATTTCCCTTTGCTGATGTACGGTACTTAAGGAGTTGTTGGCTAATTACCAGAAATTCTAACTATGCCCTAGAAGTCAAGCTCATAATAAACACAAACTTTATTTTCTCATGTTTACAGTCAGTTTTCCCATTGGCCATACAGAATATGTTTTATTTGATATGCAGTTTATTTATATTACATACAATTCCAATAATAACATACTACATTTGGACTAAAGTGGTGTCACCAGGGTCAATGTCACCAACTATGATTATGATTACCCTCTTTGTTAGATAAACAAAATATACTTACGCAATATTAAATATTTATTCTTTAGGCTGTATTAATGCTGTACCTAAGTAATCATCTGTGTAATAGTCCAATGTTATTCTGATATATATTGGCCTATGTGATCACCAGTAGCCTCAGACTACTAACCAGTGAAACCCAGTCTGTCTCAACCAGTGATTGACAATCCAGGTGACAGCGGGCCTGGCCTGTCGCCCAGTGAGAGAGATATGGATGCTCAGGGAGTTAACAGACAGACAGAAAAAGACACAGACAGACAGACAGAGCAGAAGCAGCATATTCTCAGCCAAGAACTATGTGGTAGCTTTGTGTAACTATTACGGGTTTCTGCCGGGTAGCCACTGGAGTGGAATCCCATTTCCTGAAACACAGATGTCATTCCCTGTCTCTATATCGCTCAAACAAGTCCTAAATTAATGGTCTCTTTGTCAAGCAATTGCAGCATCAACCCAAAACAAAAAGCAGTCATTTCTTACCACTTTCTATTCACTGTGTTATGTCCTTCTTGTCTTGGTTCCGACTACAGTTTGTTAGCTGTATTGATTAGACAGTGGGGATAAATCAGAGGCATTGGATCCTTTGTCTGTGACAGTTTCAACAAACATCTCTGCACCCACATGGTGTGGGGGATAGGTCATCCTGCATGCTTTCATTTGAGACATGTTTAGCAAAGGATCACTGTCTGCTAGTCAATCAATGTAAATAACACCTTATGGTCCTTCTGTCTCTGCTCTCTGTGGCACTCGTGTAAACAAGCAATAGTGTGTGTGTGTAAGTGTTTACTCACTGTGTGCATAAGACAAACCCCAGACAAGGCTTTAATAAACTAAGAGGAACAGGGTTATGTGGATGAGGAGTCTGTTAAGGCTTAGCGTTCCCTGGATTTGAAAGGTTTCGGTAACACTGAGATTGATCCATCCCGTAAAGTGCTCAAGTGTTATAAGCATGACATAATGCCTCTATACAATTTATAGTCCTTCAAAGCGCACTGGAGCAAATGACTAAACACTCAGTCGTATGTGTTCAGTGCAGAATAATTGTTATGAAAAGAGACAAACAACTCACCCTCCTGCTTGTCATACATGTTATGTTGAGATGCTTTGACTGCCTGAGGCATGGGACTCCTATTTATTTGCCATAGAATATAGATTGTAATGATAGGTGTAATGTCATGGTTACAACTGTGCTGTCTTTTGAAGTTTTAAAGTGTTACCCAGATCTATCAGTCAATTTCATTGCATTTTAACAATACTCTCATTTTCCAAAGCACATCTGATACAGTTTTAAGATAACAATACATTTTAGAATATAGTAAAAAAAACGAACAAAAATGTTTTAGAAAAAAAACTTCTAGCCATAAACGAATGTCAAGCAATAATATATGTGGTGTATTATTTGTTATTTTGTGCTTAGGCTTTGGACATCTGCATGTAAATACACCTCTAATTTATCACTTTTGGTTTTAATTTGTGTTCTTTTGTTCTGGTTGTTATTGTTTCGTCTGTATATTTGACTGGTTCTGTTCCCAGGTGGAGGGTAACAACCACATATGGCCTGGCCTGTATATATTAATTTCTCTCTCTTTCTCCCTCATCCTCGGCTTTTAATCCACAATATTTAATGTTATTATTGATCACATGTATAAAGGTAACTTTGTAACTTCTGTCTGTATTGGTAAGAAGAAAATACTCCTACTAAGGCCTACTCAGTGCAAATATGTATCTGTTTATCAAATACACCATGCTGTACAATATCTCTGATTTTAGTATGCTTCTCTCCTTTAGGATTAGTTTGATAGTGGTAGGGTGTGCCAACATTTATTTTGTGTTATCCTAATGTGTGGTGCTTGTGGGCAAAGTCCTGATTCCTAGACTAGGCAATCCTATTAGTCCATTAATTTCATTGAGTATTGGTGCATTATTTGATATTAGGACTCAATAAATAATCATGATAATGATTATGATTATGATTATGATAGTGGTAAATTTACTTCAATACCCAGCCAGTACCTGTATCAGTGTGCTAGTCCTGGGATAAGGCTCTTATTTCCTTCTCACTTTAAAATTATTAGCAAATCCAGTATCTGCTAATTAACAGGTAATTTAAGGTTGCTTTTCTGATTTCTGAAGAAAAAAAAACTCTTCAGGCTGAAACAGCAGTATTGTGTTTTTATTTTTTCTGATTGTAAAAACCACTTGCTGAGGCTGTAGCTGGTCATACTTGCAAATGCTGAGTATTTACCTCTTTTAGCTGTGTAGTACTTTACTTAAAAGTACTGTGCTATTGTCCATTTAACATTGCCATTTTATGGCTTCTTTATTTCAAAGTTAGACTGCCCTGAAACAGTGGTTTCTTGAGACCAGCTTAGACCTTTGGCACCACAGTTAAGTGTTATTATTAAAAATGTACATGAAAAATATCACCATTAGAGGTTACAAGTTTTTTTTAAACCTTTTTCTTTTCACTCTGTAGCAAATATCAGCCAGTATATGCTTGCAATAATAAACAATGTACTACACTGTGCCTCTCAGTGTTACAGGATGCATAAATGGTACAATTTGTTTTGTTTTCCAAACAAACTCAACTGACAATGTATTTGCACAAGTAGGTGAACTCTGTCACTCATGTGTTTCAACATTTTTTATATTCTGTCATTATAAGTACTAGATAATTTCCTTGTTTATTTAAGGCACCATGATAGATATTACAGTTAATAGAAATACGTTTCTCCCTCTTATCTGAGTAGCGTAACTGGGAAGGATGTAATGTAAAATGGTCAAATCGATGATGTACATTCTGGCTGACAATATTGCATAAAAGATGACCTGCTGAACCAGGTTCCGGATTTTACAAAATAATGGACAATCCACATTGATGTTTTTCACTTTGTTTTAGGATCATAACATTTTGATTTCTTTATTGAGAACAGAAAATTGACTAATGCATTGTATTTCAACTATTCATATGTGTATGCAAAATATGCATACAACACATCTGAATTTCTTTAATGTTCTGTGTTTAATGTGAGCTCAAGGGGTTGGGGTAACTTAATATGAAGGGTGGAGTGTGGGTGGGATATTGCTTCATGCGAAAGCAGTATGAACTGTCGGGGGAAAAAAGACAAAACCAGTGTGTGGTTGTCACAAATGTCTAAGTCACATGTTTGCTACTGATCTTACAATGGGGACAGATGATCATGTACCTTTGATCCAGCTCTTTTGAACTCTCTTTAGCAGGTAGTCTATTCACAAAACTAGTCTTGCTCCTTCTTGTCTGATTCTTAAATATGGAAATAAGTATTTTGATTCATTTTGTAAATACAGCTGTAAAGAAAAATAAGAAATGTAATGTTGTCTTTTAAATACTTTCCATTCTAATATGAATGTTGTTATATTGTACTTAGAAACTGTACCTTTAATATTACCTTTATTAAAAGTGCATTGGACACATCGATTTTAGATGTGCTTTATGTGCTGTTATCCCATAATAAAATTTACCGCTTGTAATGGGCTGTTAATTTCTGTCTGCCTCTCTATTGTCTGTCTCCTTTTATACACTACACAGATAA